CTGGAATATTAACAATCACGAAACCGTAAATTTCTTCTATTATACCTACACCTAGGTAACTACGAACTTACACAAAATAAACATAATATTATCTTCTTTCCATAAACGCGAAGTAGGTAAATCTATCTCGATTACAGTTAATTAATAACCACTAATAATAATTTAACCTTCGGCCAATTTCTTAAGTCTATATAGTCCATCCAATAAGCTTATTATTTATATGTTGCTTGATTCCATAAATAAACGCACACTCCCATCCGTTAACGATAAGATTTTTAAATGATTCTAATGATAGCTCATTTTATCTAGTTTCAAAATATCTCTACAGTTTCTAAGATACTATAATAGACGGAAAAAAATCTTCAAACTATTTTATGTGCTTAATTGTCCAATGACTGTCTGTTTACCCTTTCTTTTTAATTCTTATTTATTAAGAGTTATAATGATTGATACACTAATGAGTTTTTACTGTTTATTGCATGAGGCAATATCTAGAAGAACGCCTTATTCCTTGAAATGAGTGTCCTATGAAATGGTGGCAGACGCGGGCAATTCTATACCCCGAACTCTTAGACTTGGCTGAGAAATATTTATCAGTGATAGCTACCTCGGTACCATCTGCAAGGACTTTTTCCAAATCAGGTTAAATATTCAGTGAGAGGCGTAGCTCTATTCAACTAATGCGAATGGAAAAGATTTTATTTTTCATTATGAACCAGAGATTCCTGCCCTTAAATGTGTAATTTTATGATTTTCTACTACCCTCTTTATTTGCTGCTTTTTAATTATAACATTTTTCATTACTTATTTAAGTAACGTTTCTACAAATAACGAATGTTGTGATGTCATACTGTACCATACGCTTACGCAATACGATTTGTAGCTCTAACATAAATATGAGGTATTAGCAGTAACGAGTAACGTAACGAATCCATACGGGTAAAGTTTTATTCGTTACTTTCACAGCTCTATTAAGGAGGCTGATGGAGCGATCACTTTTCTCTAACGCTAAACCTTGTTTATTAATAGCACTGTAGGATTTTAACGAACAAATTAGTTGCCTTCATTTTTTTATATTATATTCATAGACATTTGACATTTATCAAGTTGTATAAAGGAACTCGATACCACAGTGGTTAACGAGTTCGATCTGCGATACTGTTTTAAGCAACTTTCGTAAGCGACGGTCATGAGATGGGTGATCAGAAAATTATTATCTCGAGCTCCTCCGTGCTTTAAAGCGTTGGTCCCAGCTGCAGTCTACAGTCGTTGGTTGATTTTACCAATTGGCACTAGGCCTGCGTAACAATTCGAATCCATCTATGATATTAAAGAACATTACATATCGACGCTGGAAAGCAAACACGTAGTAAACCTGCAAAACCAAAATGGATATTTAGAGTGGAAAATATTCAAAAAAAAAAATCTTATTTCTGTATTAATTGACTAAGGAACATCTTATTTGTGACCATGGACGTATATAGGAATAATTTATCGAAAAAAATAAGATAATTGGTTATTGATAATTTATAATTAATGATAATAAATATTTTTATGTTACTATCAATTTAGTGCATGCGGTGTTCTCTTGTAAGTGGTGGGGCAACAGGCATGTATTTTTTGTGCATTTCTCTTTGTATAGTCATGTAACATTGTGCTCACTGTGAGAGAACCAAAATAAATAAATACATATCACAAAATAATCTCAAACATTCAAATAATACACAAAATATTGAACATTCATTTATTTATTGCTCTGAGTATGAAACCTCAAACTTACAAAAAGTTAAGCAATAATTTGTACTAAATGTACCACACCATGGGACAGCAACACTATCATTACAATTTTAATCGTCCACAATTTAATTTATAAAATGATTTATAAATGAGCCACCTCAATACTAATAGAATATAACAATGTTGAAAACAATTAAACATAAACAATCCTTTAGTGGAGCTAATACATACCTAAAATAAATAAATACGCCAATTTAAAATAACAAATTCATAATTTACTATGACAAGACACATAAATATAAGATCTTTGTTTAAGTGAACAATAATTTAAACTATATGTGTACCCGTTACACAAAGTAGCATATCAGGTCATTACCAAATACCAAATGTCTGCAATAAATGAACTTCATCATTAATAGACTTGAATGTAAACTAGATTGGAGAAATTTGGTACTCTTCTTGGTTTGATATACTATCGACTATATTTTTAAGCGAGAAAAAATGTTTCTTCCTCATACGGCCATAATTTACATGACAATTTATGACAAATCACTTTATTTATTTGTCCTTTGAGTTGATATTGTTCTAATACATTTATATCATACATAATTTGTGGTAAACTATTGACTTAATTCGACTTCGGGTAATGTTGACATTTGACTTTTAAGTTTTCAAATTTCATATACTTAAATTAAACTTTGGAACTTCTAAAATCAACAAAATTTCATTAGAGTTATTTAGATATATATATAATTTTTCACATGGAATGTTGAACCAAAACATTGATTTAAATTGAAAAACCATACCATTACCATCAGTTAAATATAGAACTTAGAATAAAATATGTCAATAATCCACATTTCAATAATGCAGCAGCTTTCTAATCACCAGTGGAATAAAACAATAGAGTCAAACAAAGGATCCAAAATTGTCTGTTTAATAACTTTAATATTATATTATATCACTACAACTATATATAATTGGAATAAAAAATAAAAATTGCATAATAATCACACGCATGCTTATATAAATATAACTTATGATAACACATGGAAGATATAATAATCAGTTACAATCACCACACTCATTATTCGCATTTCAAAATAATAAAGTACTAATACCAAGTACACAAGTACTGAAATGTGCAAGAAAATTCTAAAACTCGACAGTTGTAAATCTGAAATGTTTAACTTATTTATAAGGACTATAACCTAAAAGCTTATCTAATCTAACCTAACCTTTCAGTTAGGTTAGGTTAGAGTGGCAATATGTAAATTAGGACAAGCTCTGAAACAACGCACAACGGGATGGATATCGGCTTCAGGAGACTTTTATAAATCAGATTATAGCGTGATTATTTTCAATAGCACTTAGTCCACGAAAACAACAAAATATTTTATATGATATCCACCATCAGCATATCGAACTGATAATAATTATCATAACAACACAATTATTAATTTCAATATATAATCACTCGAGAAACGAAGCATAGAAGTACACATAGCAACACATCAGATTACTTAAAAAAATACGATGTCCGTGATCAATTTTGAACCTAAAATCTAATGGCTTACGGGTTAAAATCGAATAAGATAGTATAACTTGATGTGCTGTTGACAGTACTTGTAACTAAGAGTACACTAAATAATTAAGATATGACCATCCCTGTTATTACCTGTATAAAAGTAATTTTTATAACCATCTCTGTTAAAATAAACAATTTTAGGAGGAATGCAATCATTAAATATATTATCCCTAAATTACATAGTTACATATATTTATGCAAACTGGAATCAACGAAAAATCTATTCACAATTATAAGAAAAAAATCGAAAATTATTAATTTTAGTTTCCGTTGGCTATGCCTTGTTTGCATAAATACATCCACACAATAATAAATCATCCTGCAAAAACTTACTAATACTGGACATTAGCTAGGTACTTACATTTACAATATTCACTTTCACTCACTAGACGTTAATATGTCTTTATAAATTTTAACCAGAGTAATCTGATACCTTGGCATTTATCAATATCAATATCCGAGATATCAGAATAACTGGTCGTGAACTTAAATACTGTTAATATCATTCGGGTGTTATGTGTATATTTGTGTAAAAAAAATGTGAAACAGCACCAAAACCAACATAAGGATAATCAATATAAATTATAAGACAAAAATATGACTGAAACGAATTTGCTACTTATTTTCACTATCTTGAGGTTCAATTTAATATTAGTGTTTTCTATCAATCTACGCGTTAAAATCTTAACTACTATGTCATTAAGTGTATATTGAGATTTGGCGTTTTTTAGTATACGGTCTTTGTTAAAATCTTGTACCCAAATGTGAGGTGTCAAATTTCATAAAAAATGTTAAATTTAATTTATCAACAGGTGTTTCGAACCAATATATCTTTTTAAATATGAAATCAATGTTAAGGCTAAGAATTTTACTTTGCTTTATATTGAACTTTAATTAGTCTCGAATAGCTTAGATATAGATTACCAAATATTTACAACGATTTTGTTTAGACTGTGTGTTAACAGACAATTATCTTTTTAATTTGGATAAATGACCTTTTTTTATAATTGTTAGTTTTTAAAATTATCATGCTTTACACAGACTATATTACATTAAGTTATCATGCGAATCACGTGGCTGAAATCTACAGAATACGTTTACGTTACGTTTACTTCAATATTATCTATATCATCATATTAATTATATATTGGTTTGAAATCATCACTACTTTTAATAATGTCATTTGTATACACAACTACTTTTTGTGAACCAAATGAGCACCTTACATTCTTCTTATTATTCACTTAGAACACACTTTATAATTTTAAAAATCCATGTTTTTAATTATTCTCTAAGATCTAGTTTATTCCGCTAAGGGAAATCTCCATTCACCCTTCGAATTGAGTAACTCTAGTATATACTAATATATACATTAAAAGGCAAGACATCATTTGGTCGGGCGATAGCTGATTTCTTATTATTATTTGGACACACGGTGCTAAAACTAGTAAAGTGTTCCATGTTATTTGAATAAAACAAAAAGGAAAGGACAAGGCACTTGCATCTCGTAAAAGGCTATTGCTTATTTGGGTGCACGTGGGTTCATGTTCATTCTCGCATCCAGAAATATCGATAATGAGATCAGCCCACAAAAGACCTATACATTTGTATGGCTGAAATAAACCCTCAATGTGCAAGAAAATCTACACCATCATATTCTTTTTTTTTTTCAAATCAACAATTTTTATGTGCCACAATATTTAATACACGGTTTGCGAGAGGGAGGCTTGTAGGCTGTAGGTTTTCTGACTTTTGAGTGATGTACAGTCAATGTTAAGTTACAAATTTCTGCAATCAATTTTGATCTTTATTATCAACAGCGTACGGATTAAAACAGATCAGATAAATTAAACTATGATTAACCCAACCTTCTGTACAATGCAGCAGTTACACTTCCAAATGTAGAAAATTGGAACCCGCATGACCCTAACCTGAAGTAGTAAGGTAATACTAAGCTTATCTTAGTAATTTAAAGTCACAATATTATGTGAGTGGCCCATGTTAAAATACTTTAGATGATTAATCTTTGCAGTGATTAAGCATGCCAGTGCAATACCTTCCTTTAATCAAAATTCATAATAAATACAAATTACTAATATATTAAGCAATAATGACATAATTTTACACCTTTCACTAATGTGTATCAATATGATCAAAACTTTCTCAATGTGTTCACATGAAGGTTTATAATTGCAACAGAGATGTATATGTTCCTGCCTTGCTGTATACCTTGCTCGACTATTATGTATAACTTAATTGTAGAATATATTCAGCGTTCAAACCTGAAGTCTAATGTGCTAATTAAGTTGCAGACTTTATAAATCCAACTATAATGGAGTACCTCACTTTGAGACTGTATCAACAAAAAAGAAGGATCGAATCAAATGACTATAAAAATTTAGATGGTATCAGGAACTGAAGTTTTAGTTTATGTTTACTTAAAAATAAATGTGGTTATTTCTAAGTAATCAGAGTTTGTAGATTTTAGTACTTATAATGATAATGCGCATGGAAAGAATAATATGGATAAGACATTTTTCTGGAAACTATTTAAATTTATTCAATCTATTGCTGTTGGATCCAATTTTATGCTTTAAAATCGAAACCTTTTTTGACTATAACTTCTATTTTTATACACCTATGTATATGTATATTACGTATGTTTTGAAAAAAATAAACACCATCAATAAATCAGCAAGGAATGTCCATATAATAATGTGTATGTTCCCGGCCAATGATCCCAATTCAATCTACCTACTCTGATCACTGTTTATTCGTCACATGTTATTTGTATTACGTTAATTAAGTTAAAAAAATATTTTTATAGTTTTAAGAAAAAACTAAAATTCCGTGAATATTGTTTGTTTGTACATGTATTAAAGGAATAACATACTCCACTCAAATTGAAATCATATTATATGCAACATGAGGTCTTCAGTCAAATTCACCAGAATAAATTAATTCTTTAAATTCTAGTATTCACTTAAGGCTATTCTAGCGACTCACGTGATGGTTTTTATGTTGACGGTACAGCATACGGCATTGGTACGGTGATTATCGAATTGGTCACAGTATTAAATAGATTTATTACGTCACAGCGCCACTATAAGTCCGGTGAGCCGTTAGTAACGGTCGTTCTAGACTCTGTATATAGTTTGAACGATCCCGAATATTGATACTACCGACGCCGTCGCACTTTTTCCGTTGCATTTCGTCGCCGCGCTGCGGAAAACAAATGCTTGTGTCACATCTTTATAAAAATTTCTGGAATGCGCGTTAGGTCTGTGATTTCAAATACTAAGCAACTTTTGCAAAGGTCGATTATGAAATGGGTACCGAATTAAAAAAAAAAGGAATACCATATTGTTCAGATCTCAAACGAAATAGCTAAAGCCTTTGTGTTATGGAAATCAGAAAGATACCCAGACGCGAGACAATATAGGACAGTTCATTTCATTCAATGACCCGTTCGGGAATCGATCGGGAGACTTCAGATGTGATATCTTATAGGCGACGTTTGAGCCACTCTACCATGAGGAGTACAAATTTATAATATCTTTCCCTCAGTATCTTTGAAAGACTTCAATTGGTTGCGATTGCACTTTCAGTCGTTAAATTCCATAGATTCACTTTTAGCTCTTGTGGTGGGTATAGACTGCTATCCTATATTTGATTGGTGGTTCGACAAAATAGCTCTAAATATTTCATATTTATAAACTAGGATTACTACCTAGTTTTATTCACAAGCAAAATTATATCACAAACTTAAAATTAAAAAATTCATAACAACGCCATCTGTTGACAAATAACTCACCGAGTCCACCGCAAGCATCGCCCGGCGCCCTCAAACCCTATTCCCTCTTCTTGCCCTTCTTCTTACCGACGCGTTTGCTATAATTCTGAGCGAGCGCATTCACTATAGACACCACGAAGTAAACGACCATCGCTAACACAAATTTCTCCAGGAGACTAGACAGCACAGATCCTTGGTTCTCAGGTAATGATTTTCCATCGTTTTTGTGCAAACGGGCCTTTTGATTTCGCAGAAATTCCAGTAATGGCGCTTCGAGTTTCGGCCCGATATATGGTATCCTTTCCACCCATGAAAGGGCTTGTCTGGAAATAAGAAAAAATTTCACATTGATTAGAATGATTATTTCTTTTTATTTAATACAAGTAAAAACTTAGCCTCAGTTGCACATTAATTGTAGTTAAAGTTAAGATCTATGGCAAATTTGACAATAACTGTCAGCTGACTTTTACATTGACTGTGGGATGCGACGCACCATCCTCTTTCTTGGCATAGCAAAAACAATAACTTTAACCAACGAAGCTGAGTCGTTTATAGTTAACAGTAAACATTATATATTCATCCAACCATAGCCAAATGATAACTTATTATTTGCTTAACCATTACTTTAACATGTATGGTTTGTTAAAGTAAGTTGGTGTAACTAACCATTAGAAAACAATGAGATATTATTTTTGAGGAATATAAGGTTGGAACTACAGTTCAGACCTATAGGATCTATGGTTCAATTATTTATATAATGAAATGTACTCATAACAACTTTATTTTAAAGTTCAAATACGCAAAGCAGAAATTAAAATCTATTACAAACGTTTCAAGGTATATAATATCTGTTGTATAACAGTTTAGATAAAATCCAATTTCTCCACTTACCCAACCAATGTTTCGTTGAAGGCTACGATAACAAACACCTTCTGTATATGCATCTTGATGACAGCCTTGCCCAGTAGAGTGGCACCGAAGAATGTCCAAAATGGTACGAGGAAGTGACCACAAGTAAGTCCGGCCAAATCGAACAGCGGATTTGGTATTGAAGCGCAAGCTAAAATACCCGCGAAGCCGACGCGTTGCACCAACTTTTGCACCATAACTTTCGCCCTAAACGACAAATTATAGACGTATGAAAGTCAAGAAAAAATCTAGTTGAATAAAGTATTTGACAACATTAAAAATATATTAAAAATTGTGGTCACCCTATAAGATAACAGCGTATATATAACATTACATATATATTTCACTTTATTTTAAACGAAATAATGTCTATTCTTAGCATATTGCACAAAATAAATTAAATATTCTTTAACATTTGAACTGAGACGACTTGTTTACAACTCGCAACTCCGATGACGTCATCAAACTTTTTGATGTTTGATGATGTTTGTATATTGACATGCGTACGACAGACACAGCGATTTTCACGCGGTTTTGGAAATTTTCACTATGATTTTTATTGATAAATACAGTAAATTTACCAGAAATATTAATGTAACGTAGGTACTTATCATGTAATAATAAAGAATAATTTAAAGCTATTTTTCAAAATTATTCCAATACCCTATATATGTTTTGTATCACTAGCTCTTTTCACGTGGCTTCGCCCGTGTAAATTACAATTTACGTCATCCGCGTATGATGTAGATTCTCGTAGATGAATAAACCGGTCCAGTAGCGTTACCATGAGTTTACAATGACCGTACTCGCTAGCGACTGCGTAAATGATTTGTATGGAGAACTGTACAGCGCTCCTAGCGGTCACTTGTGAAACTAAAGATTGCTAGTATGAGTCCTATAGTAAATTTACCTATCGAAAGCCAATCGCTAGCGACTAACGTTTTTTACGTTTTGTAGCTTATACCATAGAATATCTGTACCATGAGTTACAAATTTGACAAACGTCATCGAGAAATACCGTAGCGACTGTAGTTAACTCTCTCACTTGCAAAACGTAGCGTGAAAACTTATTACTCTTGTTAGAGTATTGTTTCATAGATTATTTTCAGTTATTATTGACCCAAATAATGTCAACTAGGCATTATCTTGCGTGGAATATGTTGTCATAAGCTGCATATGAAGACAAACGACGAGAATAGAGAAAGTTTGAAGCGGATATGAGAAATATCGGCAAAAATATCTAGCTCGGTGGCGTAGAAGATAAGCGCCGCGGCCCGCGATCGTTGTTGTTAAGCAACTTTCGTAAGGGTCGGTCACGGGATGGTTGACCAAAAAATTATTATCTCGAACTACTTCGTGCATCGGAAGGCACTGACGTAAGAGGGCTGGTGGTGTTGTATGAGAAATATTAGTGAGAATAATTTTATCAAATAATATAGGCTTAATAAGGAGTGTTTTGGTTTACTAAGGTCACCATTTCTGTTAAAACATTAAAAAGGGATACGTGATACGGATAACAACAAAAATAAATAAATGAATGTAACGGGGTTAGATCTGATAGCATTGGATTAGGTTGTATATTCTTACTATATTTCAAAAATTTCATAAACTGCGTCTATTTTTAAAGTTTTATGTTTGATAAATTACAAAAAACAATGTATTATATTATTAAAGTCCCGCTAAAATTTACCTTAATCAAATAAAGAGCACTCAGCATTCCTTAACTTTATCTGAACACTTAAACAAATATTTCATCTAAAAAAAACTGGAGGGCTACATTTTACTGTACAAAGTATGTATTGAGAAATGTATTGAAGTACATTCCTTTCCATATTTTCAACCAATAACTGTATTTGTCATACACTAGTCCGCATTTAATGTTTATGTATTATGCACAATTTACCAAAACAACCGCCAGTCAAGAAACAGTAATACTCAATGATTTGTCACAACACGGAAATAACCGAATAAATTCAATAATCAGTTACACTTCGCGTTATGAGAATGATCAATGACTCTTAAAATTAGTAGGATTTTATCTACTTTTTAAATTTGAAGATCTAAATAGACGGTTTTTTGCCTAAAGTTATCCTTTCTCACTCTATTCAGCATAATTAGAACGAGACAGTTTCATTTGGAGTGAAGTTAGGCGCAATACACGGTCACGTAACAAAAACTATTCGAATGTTCGAGTTAACGTTAGCGAGTATAGTAAATGTAAATGTGACTCATGGTACAACTTCTATCGAATACTATTCGAAGTGCGTTTATTCGCTATCGACTGCGGTAACGTAATGAGATTTTTCGATAGCAACTCATGGTAGCGCTACAGTTGTTTCGGAGTCTATTCCGTGCAAAAAAAAAAAAACTTCTTTATTTTTTCTTTATAATATTAGTATAGATATCTTTTATGGATATGTTGATGAGAGCAAATACTAATATTATAAAGCTAATTATTAACAAATAATTACGAAAGTTGATTAAATCTCCACAAAACGTGCTAACCACTGCGATATCTTCGAGTGGAGCAATGAAAATGGTAAATTAAATACCGACCTGCCAGTTTTGGAGTCATCGTTGGTGGATAACTCTGCCACACCACCCCCTGATAATCTGGCCGCTCGCGCCATAAAGTATGGTGGTAGTTCACCCAGTGCGGTACCGATACCCCACATCATTGACTCGACGCGTACTTTGGACATTATGTTCCATATCGACACCGCATTGTTAGGGTCTATCTCGGTGGGACAGATTATACTGGAAAAAAATACATACAATCAATATGAGTGTAGACAGCAGGCTCCCTGACAAATATCAACGGATATATATGTTTATATATGTCAATTGATGTTTGTTTTAATGCTAGTTTGAGATTGAGTCTCAGCTAAAAAATTAGCCAACCCAATGTGACGCTGGCAACTTTTTCTAGTAGTATTTAATATTTTACTATCCATAATGATACTATTATGCTTACTATATTTATAATATTGAAAAAATAATTATGTAAAAACAGATATTTTATACTCATTGTCATGTGACCGCAAACAGCGCGTGACGTCACTCCCCACTTACTCATATCAAAACTTAGAGAGTTACCCTTATGAATACACAGAATGATATTAGTTTTAGAGGGGCGTGACGTCATAGTGAAGTCATAACCGAAGATGGCGATTTGGCGGAAAATTTTGAAAATCAAATTAATTTTTAGATTTTAACTTATTATATGAATGATACATGATGTAGAACTAGTTTCTGTAGGTATCACATAGCGGCCGTATTCCGCCGAAAAATGACGGTACCACTATTACAGGAAACTATTTATAGTCATCATCATCATCAGCCCAATTGTCAAATTTTTTTGCACACTGTACTTTACACAATCATCATTCTAGTCAGGTGTCATGTTGATTCGCGCAAGTAGTAGTTCTGCTATTGTGATTAGCTTTCATTGCGGCATTGCCACATCAGTAAATATTTAACATTTATTTTTATTTAACTATTTATCTATAAAGTGAATATATATTTAAATACTCTGTGATTATTTCAAGCGTCTCCGTCTTAAATATGCATGTTATTTGATTTTTATAGTATTAGTCGTTAAAGCGGAAAATTTTACTATCACGGTTCATGAAATGTAACCTGGTGAAAGACGGACGGACGGACAGCAAAGTCTTAGTAATAAGATCCCGTACTCTCCGAGTATGGAACCCTAAAAACTATTACGTTAAGTGTTTTATGATGAAAGCAAGGTACAGCTTTGAACTTACTCATTAGGATACGGTGGCTCGGGGAAATTGAGCCCACCGCATTCATATGCGGCTAGAGTGACACGCGCGATATGCGGTCCCAAGTACAACAGGAATGTGTGCAGTCCAGTACCTAAGCCAACTGAACTGCAAACGCCTAACACTATCCACCATCCCCACCACATTAATGTTGATATCACAAGCTGAAAAAAGAATATAAATAAGACATCGGATACCCGATCAATCCCTATTATAAAATATCACAATATAGTATAAAACTAAGTCGCTTTTTCTGTCCCTATATTCCTATGTATGCTTAATTAAAACTACGCAACGGATTTAGATGCGGTTTTTTTTCATAAATAAGGTGATTCAAAAGGAAGGTTTTTATGTATAATACAAGACCACGCGTTTGATGCGGTTTTTTTTCATATACAGGGTGATTCAATAGGAAGGTTTTTATGTATAATACAAGACCATGCAGGCGAAGCCGCTGGCGGAAAACTAGTGATTTATAATCTAGACGTAATTTAAAGATATAATTACCTGTACGTAGACTTGGTGTGGACCATTAATATAATATGATACAGCTATTCCGAGCACTAACGATATTATGCCTAATGCTAGTAACTTGTATGCTAATAATCTGAAAATAAAAAAAACACATTTAATAAATAAATAGCAACTTATATAATAATGTCTGGAGGAAATTCCTCCTTCCCTGTGAATGGTAATAAACCGGATATAACCGACCACGCCCGGGCCCAGCATTTGGGCGGTAATGACTGCAGATCTACATCTGCAGTTGTTTCCGAAAGTATGGTAAGCCGTTGGTTGGTATCTACATACCAACCAACGGCTTACCATACTTTCGGAAGCACGGACCACCCGTTCTGTGACTGGGCTTTCAAAAGTTTCTACTCTACATCAAAGACCGAGCGATGGTGCATATGTTCTGTACCATCGAGCTCTTCTATGATGATCAAAATAATTATTGACCTTTAAAATAATTTCGCTCAAGGAAAAACCTTTAATTCAACACCAATCCTTAAGGTGATCCATGTTTTTACTAAACTTATTGTTAGTAGGAGTGGGCAATACAAATCGTATATATATATATTGAAATGTTTTATATTAATATCGTAATATCCGATATCGATGCGCACAGAAACTATAATTTTTTTTTAAAACACTATATTGCTGCATCTATGCAATACGTCGGATTCGGTATCTCGCTAGATATCTGATATTTATAGATATGGGATATCAAACCGTATCGCGTCGTATTAGAATTGAACTGACACAGGCGTTCGGATTTGTGAGTGAGTGAAATAGCAATATTCAAATATTTTTAGGATTCAAAACCTTAGCGTATTAGAGTCAAGGTTGTTTCCATACTTTTTAGTATATTTTGGCACGTTTTTAATAGACTTCATTGATTGACTTCAAGGAAAAGAGCATTCTTGTAAATAAGCATGCTAGTTGATCGCACACCGGTTTATATTCCCGTGCTAAATTAGCAAGCGTGAACGTGACATGCTGCTTGATGTATTTTGCTACTTGCTTGTGATTGTGTTCGTGGTGGCTTGAGGTTACCGAATACATATTGATTCACAAATATATTGTTTCAAAAAATGTATAGTTTCATAAATATATAGTTGCAGTATCTTGTATTGAATATCGATATATAGTTTCGAATCGATATTGTGAAAATCTGCTGTTACCCACCGCTAAAAGATAGTAACTTGGTTTGAACCAATAGCAGCTTAAATCAATTTATCAATTACAGGGGAGAAAACGTCAAAGTAAGACGTGTTGACTTCCCTTGGTCGGATAATGTTTTATTAAACCAGGTACTATAATTAGTCCTCTTTTGTATACTATTAGTAGTATTAACTAAGTACGTCATATATACTTTAATCATACCTTTGTAAACCTGTTGAGATCAATATAAATAGTTCCCTGAAGAAATAGTCCAGTGTTGCCAGCGGCCGTCGCCATAGCACCAAGCTCTCAGTGTCCATGGGTAACGATTTGCTCCTGAATAATAATAAAATTCAGAGATAATCTAATATCCTATAAGATACAAATTTTGGCCCATATCTAGGGTTTCTGTCCGTCCGGGTTTCTCTACGATTGTTTTAATTCGGTATTTAAATGTAGTATTGTCCAATATTGCTAATAAAATAGTATAATTTTATAATAAGTAGAATTTCTTTCTCTATAGAGGGGTAATCTTCTGAAATACTGATCCAATAATGAAAATCTTTTACCTAGAGGAGGCTACATCATAAGCAGCACGCGTAGACGACCCCTAACGAAATCGAGAATGTTTTGTACACACCTAATTGTAACTTTTCTCGAGTGCGCAAATACGATATCTCACTCTCGACCCGAAAAATTGACATTTGGTACGTGTATACAAAGCGTTTCTCGAGTTTGTCATGATTATTGATTAATGCGGATAAGGCGTAGTAAGACAGCTTGTATTCAAATAAACTAAAACCCTTCTATTACACAATATTTTAATAAATAAATATTCTTTGGAAAACAATTTTCAATTCACGACAGAGCATCACAAGTATTTTTTCAATTAAATTTCAAATAACATAGATTCAACTTATGAAGCCGTTAATAACAGTACAGATTTCAAGAAATCCTACTGTTAATTGACCAGTAGGATAACAGACAAAAAACTATCAGTAACATAGACACTGAGTCATTATTTTTTCCTTCTCTTGATATTGTAATGTAATCGAATTAAAAGTTGAATCAAACAGTAACTCAATATTTTAATTGAGTCAATATAAAACAAACAATCGTGTTCTTCGAAATACTTGGAAGACATTTTGTTGTACTGATCATAAGCTGTATTCTTACTTAATATTAACGTTAAAAATGTATAACTTTCATTGATGGTATATGTCTTCGTTCTTTCAAATACAAGCAATATGATAATATTTCTAGGTCATTATTTACGGGCTTACTACCATTTGAATTGTTTTTATTATGTCTGTTTTTCAGTTCATGTGTCTAATATTGATAAAAGAATAAAGCGAAAAAAATATAGTTTTTAATTAACGAAGTTTTAAACCAATACATCATTAAATTGCTATATAACGTAAAAGTTGTGCTATATAACATATGCTATATAACACAAAGATCAATTCTTGGACTATTGTTATTGTGTATATGTTCGGAATAAATAAATATGGATAAGGGTTCAACTGCATCTGACAGTACTGCCCAGACGTCGTACAACTCTAAATTTCGAACTATTCTTTGCTTATAATGATACCAAATATTAGATAAAAAAACAGATTATGTTATTTTAGTAACCAGAGTTCGAATATATTTATGTTTTAGACCATTTCTGAAAGAATCCGAAACTTTTTTATGTAAAATTGAATAACAAAACATTGTTTTAAATAACCAGTAACATACTGAATACAGTTGATGCATTATGTATGAAGACTATACGATGTGATAACTTTTTCTTTCACTTTCGCAATCATTGTAACAAAAGAATTTAATTAATTAAAAATAATCTTTGTAATCTTTTTTAAAGAATATTTTTGCAGCGTTAATAATCGCTAGCACTAGCGGCTTCGAAAGCAGTTAAAAATAATTAATAACTGTTCCAGCTGACTGGTAGAGGAAACCGAAGCCGCGATGATACTTCCGATATGTACAGGTAATAATAAAAGCGGATACAAACAATTGGTAAGTGAATCACAATATACCTAGGTAAATGTTCAATTCAAATATATTGTCCAGTATTAGAAGAAAGTTCGTAATCTAACTACAGTTAGAGAGCAAACTATTAGATACGTTACAACTTTCACAGATGTCGCTCGAGATGTTTACATGCTAATATGTAACATATACAATGGAAACACAAATGTTGCCAGCACAAAAAATTAACTCGGCAAGTAAGTCATGGTGTGTTCGGACTTACTGCGATAAGTCATTGTGCTGTAAAATTCTGAAAATAATTACAAAGAAGTCATCTTCAAACTTAAATCATCTTTGTTTTTGACAAATCGATGTGTACTGGATTTGCTGGACAAATATTCTTAAATTGAGAATAGGATAGCGGACTTATCATAGCTATATATCTTAGAATTTCGTACCTTTGTGCCTACTGATAGATTCGTAAACATTTAGGTTTACTTTATTGGCTAGACGCATCAGTGAGAGCGCAATAGCAATCTATTTGAGCGCGAGTTAAAGAGGCGACCGGACTATAAGGACAAAAGTCAAGGACTCATTCCTACTTACAAAACTTACTACTCTAACGTCCATGCGCATTAATTACTATGGATTTACTCCCCAAACGATTTTTGGTCAATAATCAAATAAAATAATTATTCAAATATTAGCTGGCAGTTAACATTTGAATATTAAATTTTTCGAGTACGAATACGACGAGAACAGACGAAGAGTGCAGACTTCTCATTAATATTAAGAGACAGTTTTTGTATTTGAAATTAACTTTAGCAGTCGGAAGAAACGTATCTTTCATTCTACAACCCTAAGCTACTTCGGAGTTCCTATTTAGGCACTGCACTGCTGTAATCCGCCGCTTCGCTGTCAAAGCGGAATAACAAAATGTTCTCTTCGCATTAAAAAAACAAACAATGTCAGCCTAAAATTATCAAGAAAAGCACGCTTATATATGTATTTATCTATACTTATATATTTTTTAATGTGGAGGAAAGCTTTGATAATTTGTTTGCATTGATTATCCTCCTAAACTTCTGAACCGATTTAAAAAAATCTTTCACGAGCTGCTTCATCATACGTGGATGACATAAGTCTATAATTTAAGCGAGAAAACAGATATTAATAAGATGTCGTTTACCTTATGTCTCTGGAGTGTGGAAGATGTACTCCGTTGCGCGTGCGCTGCTCGTCGACCTGCGCTGCCGCCGCCAGTTTGTAGTACCCGAGACGGGCGAGCTATCAAAAACAAATAATTATTAATTAATAATATTTTTTTTACAGTTTCTGAAGTATTCTAAGTTGGAACAACAGCTGTTCCGATTACGTAAACCAAACAATACATGAGCAGTCTCCCTTTTCATCCAAATAACGAATTCAAAAGGAGGGTTATCACTTGCAAATCTGCATATTAGCATACCTAATAAATCAATATAAAATAATAATATATCTACAGGGGTCATTGCTCTATCTGATTTGATGATGCGTGCTTTAAACTCTAAAAGTGACGTCTACAAGAAACTACTCAGTAGTGTGAAACTTTAAACGAGGATCGAAGTAAAAAGTATAAAAATTTTTTCTATGCTATTGAAAAAGTAATTTAGAAAGAAAAAGAAATCTGAATAAAGAGTCGATAATGCACACAAAACAATGAACGTATTTAAATCTCAGTGCTACTAGGTAAATTTTTTTTGGCCTATTGAAAGAATCCATTCGTTATATTCCACCTTACTTATCGACTCAAGTGTTGTTATTTTAATTAAACCTAAATTAATTGAATCGGATAATTTCAAGAAATAATATTGTAATGATGTAATTAAACAGTTATTTATATTTACGTTTATAGTGCACATTTGTTTACGTTTGCGTTAATTTACATAGGTATATTATTTAATGACTATATAATATTGTACTAGCTTTCTTCGCTTCGCCCACGGATTATACATATAAACCTAAAGTAGGTTAAAACCGCATAAAAATCCATTGTTAAGTTAAAAAGATCGCAGCGTACAGACAGCGGAGAACGGCTTTGTTTTATACTAAGTATAGATGATTGTAATAGGTGCTCACGCACGCATTTGTTAAGAAATCTATAATACCTATTAAAACTAATGAATTCATGGATAAAACCAATATTAAAAGATAGCTTAACATACATATTACGTATAATATGACCACAAATAGGTGTTCTTATGGAATAATCTTTTCACAACCAATAATATTTCCGAAACAGTGTCGACACTTAGAAAATTACGGATTCAGCATAGTAATAACATAATGACGAAACTCAGTTACCATAGTTAAATAAAAATTAATTGTATTAAGAATTTTAAAAATTCAAATAAACCGACTTACTTGAAAAGTGAGGATTTATACAAATTAATGTTGCAAATTGTGTTCGTGTGAGTTTAAATGGAATTTGCGGTTTTGTTTATTTATTTTTTTAATAATGATTTTATAAATTTAGTTCATATTAAAATTCACAATTCACCTATTCACACTTATCAACACCATCTGCCCTTATTGAGGGTTAAATAGGACTGTCGATTTAATCTTAACGTCCCCAAACTTATACATATAATACAATTCATAATAAAAGTTATACATGGAGTCGAGCGGGACAGATAGAAATTCAAAGATTCCATCTTTCCCATTTTATTTCATAAAACTAAATATCATCGCAGCTATAATAAAATAATCAATCAGTAGGAATAATGAGATAAGTAAATCATAATACATATCTGAATGAACCTGAATAGGTTCTGAAACTATTATAGTGAACCGATTTTCAAAATTCTGCCGCCTACGAGAAATAACCTACGCAGGTGACATAGATTATATTTTATGCAAGCGAAGACGCTCGCGGTAAAACAGCTAACACATAAATAGTAAAATCAATGCTAGCAATCGATCATTTATTATTACACAAGTATGGTGCTTGGGTTATCACTTATCAATGACAATATGTACACATTGTCGAGTACTTTGCGCACGTTTGTATAAGATAAGAAATACCTTATCATATATTGATTTAAATTAAGAATAAGGTTTAAATAGTACTACGAATTAATGTAATTAATGTTATCCAATCATATGAAACATAAAAACACAAATATTAGAAACTAATAAACGTATAATAAATTTTACCAACGAAATCGATGCGATCTATCTACGAACTATCACTTCACTAAAATCAATATTCATAAAATCACTATATCTATAGATTATTATAATTTATGACGATCTGTCGGACGACTCGTCTGTGTTCCGGTGTAAAGAGAAATGGCCAATGCTCGTGACACCACGAGTTTCACTTTCAAAAGAACTCTCACTCTTAAAGCAAGTGGCCGTAGTAGAAGCCTACCATATCCAATCTTATTTTATTTTTAAAAGCCGACATTACACAGATGCCTGTGTAATCAGGCAATTCGAAAAACAATTTTAGATACTCCTCTGATGTTGACGAATGGATGTCTTTGTGGTAATTTAATTTGACTCGATCTTATAAATAAGACTATCTCAGATTCGATGCCAACACGGTATCAAACTGAAAATAAACTTATTAACGCTGTCATTAATAATGACATGTAGGAAGCAGATGTTAAGGATCAGAATGCTAAAGATAACAATGAGAATTATAAATAACTATGCGTTGTTTGAGTATATATACGTACCTAGTTCTAAACTTTTCAAAACGTTTGAGTATCTATACGTACTAGTGTGTATGTATATAATTAGCAAGTTTACTGTACCAAAATCGTTTTCTAAAATGTGTTTGGTACCTGCAATTGCATCGTCACAGTGCCAAATAATAAATTTCCAGCCTTGAAAAAAAAACCGGTCTCTATGTAGACGAGGTCATGGTCTATGAACTTGATTGAGTACGCGAGAGCAGAACCGACGTCTAGGCTGTCGTACAGTAAATAGGGCATAAAGTTATATTTAACTATCAAATTATTCAATTGATTTCAATTATTAGTTTTCACGTTATTCCGTAGTCATTTGGAAACAAAAAATATAATTATACACTTGTATATTGTAATAAGTGAACTTTTGCCATCTTAATTATTTTCACAATTGAAAACTCATTTCGACAGCTAAATCCTAAAAATCTAGTTCGTGCAATTAGGTTATTACTACTATTGTTGTACCTCGATTGTTATTGCATTATATACAAATAATGTAAGCAATACAATTCCTTAAACGTTCCTTACCTTTAAAGAAAAATATCCTGTGTAGACAACAAGAATTTTCAGTTATATTACAAAGTGGATTTATTTTATGAAGACAAGTAAGCAGCTTAAAACTAATATGAGATGTTATAATAACTTAATGCGATTAACATTAACTCTTTTTTGGTAAATAACTAATGAAATAGGAACGTACCATGTGAGAAGAAATAAGTAATCAATAAAAACCTAATGTAAGAAAATAAACTCTTGGAACAATAGTGTATTCATAAATAATAAAAAACTACTTACATAAAACTCTTATTAATGAATGCCACAATTTACACAAGGACGGATTTAATCCCAGCGTACCGATAACACTGAACTTTGGGCGCCAAAATTATCACAAAGAACTCACAAAATGATTGTGTCTACCGAATTATAAATAATCCGCTTTGTTATTTTTTTTATCGCAGATATGTGCGGCTTCTCTGGCAGCATTAATACAACTGATGAAATACGAATACGTGCATACAAATTAATCGTGGTTGGCAAACAAAGAATAATTCATTATTGGTAACGAAGAAAATTTATCCGGAAAAATTCAACTAAATATTATTTTTAAAAAAACATTTTTGTAAATTTAAAAAAGTAGGCATTTCATGTAGTTAATCACAGCGGCGCATAACAACAAGGTAATCTATGACCGTGCCTATGATGTTTAGATAACAGTTTACGTTAAGTGGGTGGTGTTTGAGTCTAAATTGATTTACATTAATTTCCGGAAACAATGTGGTGGCGTGATCGTCGCGTGTGTGACACATGCGTATGCGCCGCCGCGCCGTTCGATCGCGTAGTTAGTACAGTGACCTGCATAACGGAGATTAGGCTACGTCGTCGTCGGTCGCCAATTGTTAGAATTATTTATTTCCTCTATATTTTTAGAACTTTTCAAATTATACTGGCACACCAAATATATTTGGAAATTATCTTGTAAAAAGTTACCTATAATTTCTATAATACTTATAACCTATATCAATAGTATTGATATTAATGTCATTATAAATTAATGCAGTTTTTCTATCGAATTATAATTAATAAATTGATGAGAAGAAATCTTTCAAACAACCTAGAACTGTCAATAACCATTTCATAGTAAAAAAATAAGTCTAAAGATAACATTAAATTAATAGTAGCTACTTACTTTATACTGGTGTCAGAATAGGGGAAACCGCTTTTAAAGTGTTTTCATCTATAAAAGGAGTTAAGCTTTTGATCAATAAAAAACCCACAGAATTTAAGGGAGACAACAGATTGTTGACTCAACAATACAAACCTTAAAAAGTCATGTTTTTAATTTAAACAGCATGCTTTATTAAAATGTTACACACTTTCTACTGCATAAATAGCTTTTAGTGTTTTATTTTGCAAATTTAAAAATTTTACTGTGTTAATCATAATTTAGAAGTGAAAGAAAACCATAGAATGTATCAGCTTGATCTTTATGATAGCTGAAGAAATAACTGACTCTTATTATTGTAGGCATTAAGTTGGCAATCTGTGACTGTCTAGGGAATTAGGCATTTCAGTCAAAAGGGGTTATCTTATATTAGCAATAAACTTTGTCTAGATAAAAAATTGTGTTCAAGAATTTGATAATTTGTCAGTGTATATAATAAGTATTTCATCCCAATTATTTTACCCTATAAATAATAAAATATGTTTAATTTTGTTTTCTTTTAATTATTATGCAGCCATCAAAGTGTCAAGAAAGCTAAATTGCAAGTGAATTAAAATATCTATATTGACTTCTATAGTAAAAGACAAATTCCATAATAAAAATACTAAGAATCTGCAAATGAGATCTTTCCACAACTCAAACATAAATGCATTAGGTGTATTGCTTATAAAAATAAAATTCTAAGTTCACTCTAAATTAAATAAAGAAAATTTAAAGCATCATCTAGTTTCTAGAAATGTAATGTGCATGAATTAAAGACAAAATTTGATATATAAGAATAAATAAATAAAGTCATTGTTGATCATAGACTACAGACAAAAATCTCTTGAAAAGAAACAATATGAAACAAAATAAGCATCACATCACAGTCTGGCAAAAAAAAATACAAAGCACAGATAATTGCACACAGCTTTATACCAGCTCGTTTTTGTTGCCTGTAGCCCGTTGCCCCCTTTTTCTGCATTCTGCTCGAAGCTGTTCTTTACTCATGCTTGCCAATGTTTCAGGTGTCAAAATGTTTTTAGATCTCCCATTATCAGACACAGAGTTCTGTCTTGGTATAGCTATTGAAGTTGCTTGATTTCGGACACGTCTTTGTCCTGCCATATTTTTTTTTCCTGATAGCTTCTGGTTTTAGTTTACTGCTTGTGTTTTATACTACAGTTTCTGTCCGTATTGTTGTGTAGATTCCTTGTTACCTTGCCGAGTTGTGGAAAATATTTGAAGGAATATAAATATAAATGACAATAATATGCATAGGTACGTATAGATGTGTTAGTTTATATGAAACAAAACTCTAAATGTGTATGTAATGAAAGATAGATTTACATATAGAAATAAATAAAGGTCTCATAAAATAAACTGAATTCAATATGCTTATGTAAATTTTGAGCAAATAACAAAAGGATATGACTATGATATAATTTTTTTAAAGTACACATAGAAATAAAAGCAAATTAAATAGTACTTTTCCCAATAAAGATGGAAAATAAAATACCATTATATTTGATAGATTTATCCCCTTCCATTTTAAATATCGATTTTAAAAATCCGTGAAGCTTTTTGTCGAAATTAACAGAACGTTGCCATGAAACCACAATAAATGAACGAAAATGAATCCTGCGGACCGATAAACAAAAAGCCACTTTCAGCCCCTAGATAAAAAGCGTAATTGTTGGAAAATCATTAGGGACAGTCAGCATAAATTAAATACGAAGATTCTAACCTAATGAAACAATTATAAAACAATAACGAAAAACCACTTACTGGAAAATGAATCCTAGAAAGTTTCACACCCAATTCCCACTTATTGCGAAGAATTTAAAGAATAGAGTTTTATTTAAGAGATAAAATTTATTGAACACTTTTCCCGATCAAATTAAAAATCGCACTGGTAACGATACCACATTCAAAAACTATTTTAGAAAATAAAAGGAATAATAAAGTGTTCTTGTATATCAATTAACCAAAAACTTCTAAAGAAAATGAAATTTAAATTATTCTGAATATCATTATTGAAGCTATTTTCATGTATTACAATTTAAATTATAATCGTAAATATTAATAAACAAAATTAATAAATATACTCAAAAATCCAGCAACTCTGGTACAATTCGTAGGATGGCAACATTTGAAGAACAACTGACGTGTTTTTTCTTGGATGATGAATGATAGAAATTTTTCCTAGTCATAATGTCTGTGATGTGGTCTGGTACTCTGTGATATAGATTTCTGTCAGGAACTTTCTGTGAACACTTAATACATGAAAGAAAACAGAATAATTCACACCATATAATTACTGCTATATTTACGATAAAGGAGAGTGTCTATCTAATAATCTACCTAATTTAGAAGTGTTTCTCTCATCCAGAGAGTATAAAAAGTTTTCTTTAAAATAAGTACGAGACTAAATAACTAATTTTTTAATGACATCTTTATCGTCCTAATTTTCCGGTTTGCTTAAAAACTGCAGAAGCGAAAGCACTATAATTCATTTTTTCCAAAAGATAAGGCTGTAGGGGCTAACTCTCTTTGCTTTAACAAAACAAACAGAATGTTAATGTCAAAAATACGGTGTGGTCATGGGCTTAGAATTAAATAACAGGACAGAGTACTCCCAGCCGAAAAGTAAGCCAAGCGAGATGTCAAGTACAAATACCATTTTTCCATTTCTAATATGGCGACAATAATATTTTAATTAAATGAGACTTTTATATGGTTCAGTTTTTTAACTACTGTGGTTATTATCGTACACAGTGTTTTTTTGCAATACATATATTTTTATTATTTATTTTTAGGCTTTTCGAGAAATTTGATAACGATGAGAGATATCGCATGAACCGCGTGCAATTATAATATGTTTTCAGAATCGCAAGCATTTGTTTACTCTTGAAATCTCACAATATATCAATATCTAAAAATATATATTTTGAGAGATATTTCTCAGGGTTCGAAAAGAAAACTAATCTTGATCTAAATAATTTTTTATTTCGCCTTTTTTTTTGTACAGTGAGATTGCACAGAACGTAGTTACAATTGACACGATAGCGCGCGCACGTTCACTCTGAGAGTTCGTGGCTGACTAGCGCGGTGGCGCGCGTGAGATGTTCGTTAAGTTGCCCGTGCGATCGAACCATCTCGAAACCGGGCTGGCAACCGCCCGCGAGAAACTCTAGTTAGTAGACGTGCTTTCCGGTTTGCTATAATATTTAATTTGCCAAAAATATATGGCTATATCCCTCTTATATATACAAGTGAATAGTCGTTAGCGTGTTTGATCTGCGATTGCGGAGGTTAATCGATGATCGCAAAGGATGGCAATAGGATGGATAATCAAGTTTTTTTCGGAAAGATTTAGGACTTTGGCGTCTTTGGCATGTCCTCTTCTTACTTGCAGCCCCTACTCATATCAATCTCAAACGGGTACGCTAACTGGGGAGCCCGCTTGATGATGGAAATTGTGCAAGATAGGAAGGTAGGAACTACCCAGCAGAGAGTCGGTCGCGGACAACGGGGCGCTCGCGTATCGGCTGGAATGTCCGATAGCATTGGCAGTGCCTACAGAAAGGACCCCCGCTCCACGTCAAACCTTACTGGCGTAGTAAGACGTAGTTCGGAAACGAACCAACAATCTAATCCATATGTTTACAGCCTTGCGAAATACGACGTGTAGTTCGGAAACGAACTGACCACCTCGTCCGCCTTGAACGGCGTTAACGCACACCATTTGGCACCGTTAAGTGGTGTACGCAATGAGCCCGCGGTCCACCCGCGTATACTCGTGACAGAACACGAGTGTTTTCTTCGACTATGTCCGTAGGTCTGGAACGTTTTTCAGTCTTCTGACTTCATATATCCGGCGAGCGATGGACCAAACTTCTGTTGCGGATCTTCCTGGATGATTGGACTGTATAATTAAAACTCCTTCGATGGTTTTCACTTCTTCTTTATTCGTATATCTTGAGGGCCGGAGAGCTTACAATTATCGCTCAAAACGACCCGTCTTACATCTGTTGGGGTGGCTCGCACCCAGCTCCGTACATTATCAGTTGGTTAGCCTATTACACATCTAACCCCTACTTGGCGAAGCCACCCCCCACTCTTAACATCTATGTGTCACATTATTCTTAATTACTACGTTTTACTGTTTCTCTATTTACATCATAAATCACGTTAAAACATCATCATATTATATTACATAACTCGTATCGTGCCGGGCAAGACCGCGCCGTCGAAGCTCATAATCGTTCTAAGGCGCGCCGCGCTCTTGCCCGACGTATTTATGTGGTCAGAGCGAGACGGAAGATC